ACTCGTTCAGCATTTCTTAAGCTCAAGGAGCTGAAGAACAAATTCACACCTAGAGTTGCTATAATCAAGGATGCTTTAGGTGAATATTAAATGGTCCAGGAAGTATTAAAAGAAGATGGAAGGAATATACTGAATCATTGTATCAAAAGGAATTGGCAGATACAGAAGAGTTTCATGAAATAACTTATGAGCAAGAGCCTATGGTGATGAAGGAAGAAGTTCACGAACAGCTAAGATTTTGTTAACGAAATTCTAGTAAGAAAAAGCAGTGATGAGAATTTTCTCAGGGCCAAAACAATGGTAATAGTCATTTAAACAATCCCCTACCCTATGCCATTGCTTAGAATCAATAGTTCCTTCTTGAAGAAACCATGGGCAAACATCTTCTAAAAACAAGAAAAATGTCTTTAAATCTTTTTTAGTTACCCTTATACCTCGTGCCTTGAGGGAATCCTTGATACCCTTTATGAACAATTCATGTTCACTTAATCCCTGTCCCATAATTCGCTGCCCTTACCTCCTCTCATGCCTGTCTCACAGGGCGGGTAATCCCGTGGCAGCAGCTACGTACCTGTCTCACAGGACGAATAGTTCTGTGGCTGGCAACAGTGTGAGTCTTCACTCGTGGTCCCAGACTCACGGCAACTCAATGGATGGACTGGCCGGTCACTTCTAACAGGCAGCGTTCATCGTCCTTCCCTGTTCCTGGGCCCCACGTTGGGTGCCAATTATGCCCCGGCCCATGGGGATCTTCAACGGTGACCCTAGGAGGGGAAGAACGAGAATGGGGGGAACAGAGGCACAGAAGCACAGAGACAAGTTGAAAATTCCAATCAAGTCTCAATTTTATTGAAAGCACTCACAGCTTATATACAGGAGCACAATGGGGCATGGAGAAGTACACAATGGGGGAGAATAGCATCATGTCATTTCTAGTAATCTGAAAGTTATCAGGTTAACAGAAACTTAGCAGGGCGTTTCCCAAAACCTATCCTCCCAGGGTGGGTTAAACTGAAACCTATCCTCCCAGGGCAGCATGTCAAAACATGTCCTTAGAGAATTACAAAATGGTTTCAGCTAGGTTGAACTAGCAGCCCCCAACAGGGCCTGATTAATTTTATGATGTTATTGTTGTTGTTAAGTGCCATCAAGTCGTAAACAACTCATAGCAACCCTACAAATGAAAGTCCTCAACACTTGTGTGACTTTCATCCTTTCTCCAGGTTCATAGAGTTTCTGGAGGCAAGCTATTTACAGAAGTGGATGTACCACCAAATTCAGAACCAACTCATAGCTGATCCTCCAGTGGATTTTCAGAGGCAGTAAATCACATAGGGAAAAATTGATCAGCTTTCTCCCAATGAACAACCAGCAGATTTAAACTGTATGATTTGGGGTGGCTGCACAGCTCCTTACCTAAGCCTCTAGAGTTCGTGATCTTTTCAGTTACTTGTGATGCATCTGATAATTGGACAGTGAAGGAGGATGACAGAAGAATTAATGCCTCTGAGATGTGATGTTGGAGAAGAGTACTAAATATTCCGTGGAGCACCAAAAGAACAACCACAAAATGTTTCTTGGAGAAAGTACAATGAGAGTGCTCCTTAGAGACAAGAATCAAACTTAGTCTCACACAATATACAAAGGCATTTGACTGTATGGACCTTAACAAATTATGGTTAATATTGACAAGAATGAGAATCCTAGAAAACTTAATTGTGCTCATGCAAAATCTATACCTAGACTAAAAAGCTTTTGGTTGTCTAAACAGAAAAAAGGAAATATTGCATACTTTAAAAATCAGGAAAAGTGTGCATTGGAGTGTATTCTTTCTCACTATTCTGACTAAATCTTTTGAGAAGTTGGGCTATATAAAGAAGAATATAACATCAGGATTGGAGGATGACTCATCAACAATCTGTGTTATACAGATGACACAGCCTTGCTGGCAGATAAGGGGGGAAACTTGAAACTATTGCTATGGAATATCAAAGACTACAGCCTTCAATATGAATTACATCTCAACATTAAGAAAACAAAAATCCTAATCCTGAACCAGTAGATAACATCATGATAGATGGAGAAAAGATTGATGTTGTCAACTATTTCATCGTACCTGAATCCAGAATCAACACTCATGGTAATAGCAGGCAAAAAGTCCAGACATATTGCATTGGGAAAAACTGCTTTCAAGGATATCTCCACAGTGCTAAAGAGCGATGATGTCAGTTTAAAGACTAAGGTGCATCTGATGCAAGTCATGGTTTATTCAGTTGCTTCCTAAGCACGTGAAATTTGAGCAACAAATAAAGATGACAGAAGAACTTTTGCTTTTTTAAATGTGATGTTGGGGAAGGAAGAGTACTGTATATTCAATGGATTTCCAAAAGTACAAACAAGTTTATCTTGGAGGCAGTACAACTAGGGTGCTCATTAGAAGCAGGGATGGTGAAACTTCCTGTCACACATACTTTGGGCATATTATCGAAGGGGCCAGTCCTTGGAAAAAGATGTCATGCTTGGAAAGGTGGAGGCTCAACAAAAGAGAGAAAGACTCCCTACAAGATGTATTGACACAATTATTTTAAGAAAGGTCTGGAATATATCAGAGAGGTGAGGACAGCACAGGATAGGGTGAGGTTCAGGTATGTGTTCGTAGGGTCACTGTGAGTTGCAGTTGACTCAACAGTACCTAACAACAAGAACAACTTCTCAATCACAAAGAATAGAGAAGTGTATTTCCTAAAACAAGAGTTTTACCTGGCCTCTTACTAGTACTTCTATATGTAATCCAAAAATTATGGAAAATTTGGGCATGGTCAGCCTAGGGCAGATGAGTAGGGAGCGCCTACTGACAAAGCCAGTATTGACTGGGAAAATGATGAAAAGTGTGAAGGTCAGAATGTTGGGGGAAGAAGAGAAGAGGTCCAGACCCTCACTCAGAAATTGTGCTCTTTCTCTTCAAGGGAAGGGTACACCAGTTGGCAGAGGAAGCAGGGTGGCAGACGACTTCACCAGACCCCCAGCCCAGCCAGAGCTGAGACAACACAGACTAGCTTTTCAATGGTATTGAAAAATAAACTAAGTTTTAGTCTAATATAAGCTATAAAAGATTTCCTATAAATTATGTAATTTATTTTTTATCTCTGTACAATTTTTATGTAAATTTTTTAACTGCCTGTGGCCTGTTCTGTTAACATTCCTGTACCCTTTTCCTTAATGTTCGTTTGCATGAGAGAAATGTGATTTTGTTTGCTTGTTTGTATTGTATAGCCATTAAGCCAACTTCAGTACTCTGCCTTCTTTACTCTGATTTTTTTTCTAGTTCTTATTCAGAATGAATATTAGAATCATGTTTTCTATTTCCTACTTTCCAAATTTTTTAATATAGATAGAGACAAAGATAAACGAAAAAAAGAATGGTATTGAAGAGGGACTCTGGTCCGAATACTTGACAAATCAGATCCTTGCTCAGAAAAAAATGGAAATACCCTTGTTCTCTTCCTGCACGTTCTTAAAGCTTCTGTTTTTGCACAGTCAGTTGTCTACTTTGCTGTTATTGTTATGTACCACTGAGTTGGAACCGACTCATAAACATTTTTGTAAGCAAAGTTTATTATTCCTGATATTCAATCACAATCTCATCTGAATATTACCTACCACCAACAATCAGAGTTAATAAGATCCACACATAAGTATCAACACAGGAATTTGTCATAAGGTCATAATTTATATTTATGATTTGTTTCTTCTTCTACTTTTCATCCTCTGTTTTCTTTGTCCTTAGATCTTTTCTCACAGGGATAATTTATCTAGTGGTATACTGATCATCTCCATTTAATAAAAAAAGTCTTAATCTTCAATGACTGGGTAGGCCTGGTTGTCTTGTGAGTAAGGAACTGTGCTGCCAATTTGAAAACAGGCAGTTCAAATCCACCAGCTACTCCGTGGGAAAAGGATAGGTAGTCTCTTCCCAGGCAGTTTACTACCTCTGAAAACCCACTGGAGGGTCAGTTACGGGTTGGTTCAGGCTCCATGGCTCACAATAACAACATATCTTGGCTAGCAATAGTGGAGCTGCTTTATTATAAAAAAATCATCCTTACAAAATCCCATGTCATCAAATTTATTCCAACTTATATTGGCCCTTCAGGACAGAGTAGAACTCCCCCACAGGTCCTGTAAATCTTCATGGAAGCAGACTTACACATCTTACTCTCATGGCCTTGCCAGTGAGTTAGCCAAATACTTTAACCTTTGTGCCATCTGGAATCTTAACACCAGGGTTTTCTAATAACAACACTATAAGGAGGCTGTAAAACAGAAAGAGGAGGGAAAGAAACCCTTCTTCAGGATTTTCTATTGTTGCTCTCATACCATAACATCTTCATTCTGAAAATTGGTTCCGCTTTGTGGACTTAATTTTCACACTCCCAGAACCAGTTTTATTCTGTCCTTAGAAAAATAAACACCTGCTGTGCAGAACCATTCCACAGAGCTCTTCCTTCGACAAGGCCAAAGACTCTCCTCTGAGCTACTAGTGTAAGAGAAGCAACCATAAAGCGTTCACTTCTCAGAAGCCTGGACCCAAACTTTGCAAGTTCCTTTTCTTCCTCTGAGTCCTTAAGGTACCACCACAAGCCAGGACAAGGCAGGCACCTCAGATGAATGGGCCATGCCTCTGAAAGCATTTCTCTCTCTCTCTCTCTCTCTTGTTTAGTAAAATTCTGTTAAGTCATATGGTTTTTATTCAATTATTCAAAAACATTTTATAACATTTATTTTAACTTTTTAAAATTATTTCACTGTCTAATCAACTCTTCTTTATGTATTATCTTTTTCTTTCACCCATATTATCTACTTATTATTTACTTTCCTCCTCCCATCTCCCAACTCTGTTATCCCTCTGGATGAGGACACAAACATTCACAAGGTGTAAGTGGCATGTCAATGTTACACAATCAAGAGATAGCAGAGTCAAACACCAGATATCTGGAGATTCAGTGTTGGCTGGCAATTCTACAGTGGCCCAGACTCTTTCTCAGTGCTCCTATAACATCTTGGTTCCTCAAGCTATAAATAAGGGGATTAAGCATAGGAGTAAGAACGGTATAGAAGACAGAGACTACCTTGTCATGACTTGGGGTCCTGTAACGTTTAGGTCTCAGATAGATGAACATAGCTGCCCCATAGAAGAGAGAGACAGCTGTCAGGTGGGAAGAACAAGTAGCAAAAGCCTTTTTACGGGCCTGGGCAGAGCGCATACGGACTACAGCAGCCAGAATACGAGCATAGGAGGCAACGATGATGGAGAAGGGGAGGAGGAGCATGAAGACACAGCAAGCAAACAGCAGGTTCTCAAAAAGTGATGTGTCTGCACAGGCCAGCTTCAATAAAGCTGGCACCTCGCAGAAGAAGTGGTCCACAATCCTGGAGCCACAGTAGGGGAAGGCCATGGCTGCCACCATCTGTATCATTCCGTCTAGTATGCCAAAAGTCCAGGATCCTCCAACGATCTGGAGACAGACTCTATGACTCATGAGGATGTGATAGTGAAGTGGATGGTTTATGGCAACAAAGCAGTCATAAGCCATGAGTCCCAGCAAGAGTCCTTCAGAGCCCACAAGAGAAACAAAAAAGCCAATTTGTACACCACAGCCCACAAAAGAGATGGACTTTCTTCCAGATAAGAAGTTGACCGCCATTTTTGGCACAATGTTACATACCAACATGAGGTCCATGAGGGAAAGCTGACTGAGAAAGAAGTACATGGGTGTATGAAGTCGATCATCTATGTAGATGAGGGAGATGAGCAGGACATTTCCACAAACAGCCACTGTGAAGACTGCCATGACCATGGAGAAAAGAACAAAATCAGTTGCACAGTAGGAAAAGATGCCCAAGAGGACAAAGTCATCTGTGGATGATTGGTTCAACCATATCTCCATTGTCCCTGAGAACCGGCAAAAAAAAAGAATTTTTTTTATACACATACATATATCTTGCTTATACTTGTTTACTTACCCCTGCATTCTGTCTTCAGACAGCCCTTTCTTTTGTAACTCATTAGTTCTCAGCTACATAAGCTTTGAGCCATAGAAAAGGATACTCTTTTATGTTCCCATGACACAGATGATCTCTGTTAGCTTATATTATTGAACTGAATTTCCAAATTCATATGGTAACCACCATTCTAAGGATTGAAAGTGAGTCTTTAGGTTCCGAATACAATTTATATGGTCTTGAGAAGAATACTGAAAAATATTGCTTTGTTTTGCTCATGTACTTCAAATCTTCACTCAAACACTAGCCTTTTTTAGAGATTTTGCATGAAAGTCATATGTCTTCCATTCACTACTCACTTTCCACAGACTTAGATTATTTGATGAATACCTGCATATGTATTTGTACTTTTACTATATCTTCTCCATACACCATAAGAACTGGTTTGGGTGTTTTTACTTGGCTTGTTGGTTGGTTTTGGTGGGGTGATTTGTTGGGTTTTTAAAAAAAAATTATGATGCTAAAATCCCTAAAATAGTATGGATGCATGAACTCCTGAAACTATTACCCTTATAATAAATATACTATGAGCTCAATATATAAAAACTGGTTAAATAAAATAATAGGCAGTAAATAGGTATGCATTGTCCATTTTCTGAAAGTAGACAGCTTTTACTTTACAGGACAGCTTCTTGATATTAATGTAGTCCAAATTCACTACTTCATTCCTTTCTATGAGCACTGTCAATGATAAAACAAGAAATATTTTCAGGAAAAAAATAACTTTTCAGGAATTTAGAAAAGATAACCATGTTTTTGAAATTGGGTGATCTTGGCATCTGTAAGAGATTCATGTGCTGTTATTTCATGTTGATCTTAACTCACTGCACAGAGAAAACAAGGTCACTCCATAGCCCTCCTCTCTGTGCACAGACCCACATCCAATCCCCAACTTATATGTGCTGTTTAGGTGCTGAGGATGTCCAGCACTAACCACCATGTACACAGACCCTGTACCACATACAGATCTGACCTTCAAGGATGTGTACTTCAAATCCTTCTTTTTTTCCTCATCACTTATCACAGTTTTTACACTTCTCTCTGGTTATCACATACTGACATCACTAGTGCTTTTCCCTCAAAAAGTCTTTTCCTTCCAAAAAGAGCAAATATGATAGATCAAAAGCCAGAAAGGATATTCAAACCCTGGGTGCAAGAATCATTTCTGTAACCAATAAGTGTGGACCTCTTTCAGTGTTCCCAGCCTGTACTGGAAACCATTGCATCATCTGTGAAATGAAGAAAATTATGCCAGCTCCCTACCCTTCAACTCTTATTAGCCTTTGATAAGAAAATATTTGTGGAATTTTCAAGAAAAGAGCTCTCTAACTTATCAGTTAATATAAGCAATACTAATTTGATGACTAAAAATGTATCTCTGTCTACCTCAGATAAACATGGAGAGATAAACATTTGAATTTGGGCTCCAGATTCCATTATCCACTAGACTTTTGGTGTCTTCCCTCAGAGATACAGGACTTCATCCCACCTAAGGTGGCCAAGCAGAGCTCTTGATCCCCACTTGTAGAACTACCTGTATTCTCACTTCCTCACTATTTTCATTAATGACAGTTCTGTGCATTGCCCAGACCACAAACATGGTGCCTCCTTGACTCTTCCTTATATATACACACACAAACATACACCTCAAAAAAACCCCCTGCTGTGTAACCTACTCTGACTACTTTTCATCTCTTCTCTATTGCTGTCCTGCCATGCTATATTGCTTCTGCTCCCTGGAGAATTGCAATGGTACCTGTTACAGAGTGAATTGCATGCTCCAAAATACTATGCAGGAAAGAAAAATTTTGTTAGAAAAAACATATATTCACCACATGCATACACATACAAAGAGTTACACTGAAGCCTTATATACTACTTTCTTTGAAAGTAATGGTTTACTTATGTCATATTAATGAAGTCATTTCTAAACTTAATCACTTGGAATGAGGTCTTATCAAAAGATCAGAATAGATACAGAGATATACAGAAGGAAGAGATTCTACGAGAAGTTGTGATAAAACAAAGAAAGCCTAGGGCTAGAGATAGAAAAGAGAGAATGATGCTCCCCTTGAACAGAGAGACATCGAGAAAGAGGAGAGAGAGAAACAGACTAACCTTAAATTTTCATTTATTGCTTCCAAAACTATGACAATAAATCCTAGCTCTTTAGAGCCACCCACTTCCAAAACTCGTTGTTTATATTGTTATTAGGGCAGTACTACTAAACTAAGGCAACCACTAATTGGACTGATCCTCCATTACTCCCATTGTTTAATCACAGCATAACAACAAAGGAGTAAGCTCTGCTCGGTATAAGAAGCCTTATAAGTTAATATACTTTAAGGGAGAAAAAAAGAAAAGGAAATGAGTGCCTAATTAGCCTCTGCCACTGTCCAGATCCCCTTTACTCTGCTCTTTATGGACCTCTCTGTCTCCAGACACACCCAATCTCCCTGCTGTTTCTCACCAGTAGACCTTCTTCACTCATGCATGAAACCTTCCTTCAAAACCCCAATTAGACCTGCAATCCTTCAGTCCTCTGCTTCTTTTCCCTGCCTTAGCCGCCCCCTCCATAGCATGCAATGCCATCTGATAGGATGTACATTATTGATATATACTTGCTTGGTTTCTCTTATTCCAACTAGTGAACTATGTTCCCTGATTTTGTTCTGCTGACAGTGGAATTCTTGGCTCCAGTGTCTGGCATATATGTCCTAGTGGATGTCTGTTGAATGAATAATATTTGCTTTGTATGAAAACAATTCAAGAAATTATTCTAGCATCACATACGTTCATTTTTACTGCTCTCTAACATCAATCTCTCTTGCTTATGCATTTAGTTACTGGCTTCATTTTGTGTCCTAGGAACAGCACAAAAGCAACCTTCTTGTCTCTCCATACTCTTTCAGGATACTCCCATTTCTGTCCCTTCCTTCTAATACTTTTTCTTAATTTCTCTCTATTCTTTAGCCTTCCTGCTTCAATCCAGGAGCTCATAGTCAACAACCTCCCCTGCAATCGAAAGTTAGTAAGACACTGGGAAAAGAAAAAGAAAGGTAAAGATAAAAGGATGAGAAGTAGGAAATAAAGAGGGAATACAGACATATCACAAAGTAAATGTGATGTGTAAAACCTATCTCCTCCTCTTAAAAAAAAAAGGCTAGAGGTAGATAAAGACAAAATGTTGCTGAGCAAATAGTATTTGGAGCAATGAACCAGGGAAACTGGTTACAGCGACTACAATGATGAGAGAAAAGGGATAAAGTGAAAAAGACTGAAATCCTCACTCAGTTTTCACGGCCATCCTGGAGGAAAAGCAATTCAACAGAGAAACACCATGGAGATGTTTCTGGTATTAGAATCATTTCACCTACCTTTTCTGTTTGCACAAAGTAGGTCAGAATAGGCAGGTGGGAGCCCCCTTCCCCCACCAGCTCTGACCTTTTCCTCAACCTTCCACTGTTAGCCTGCCTGGGAAATGTCCATGTCACCCTTTCTGTGAACTCTTTAGCTCATATAGGGCATCTCAGACAGATAGCAACCTCTTCTCAAAAAAAGAGGAATAGAGAGCAAGTCAAGGAGATGGGGCAGGGGGTGGGAGTAGGGGGGTAGATGGAGTCAGAGCTAAGACTTCTACATTCAAGTTACAGACATGCCCACCTTCCTCAGAGCTCTACCTCTCAATTCTGATTGCAGAACTGTCTCCCACTGTCCACTCAGCTACTTAAAAACAAAAACTGAGTGAGGAAAGTGAGCTGACAAGACCTAGGGGAGCCAGCAGAACACTGGTCCTGGAATAGGAATTCCCAAGTATACAATTAAAAAGATCCAAAGAGGGAGGAGCATGGGGACAGATCCAAGAGCAGGACCAGTGGGATCAGTGTGAGGATGCCAGTCAGAGCAGAGCCACTGGGTCAGTTAAGAACAGAAATGGGAGATAGGTTATCTTCATGCTCTAGCCTCTCTACTTTTCAGCACTTCCTATTGGCATCCAGGTTTTCTTGATGAAAACCTGGTTCTGGCTGTCCTAGTCTATCTTTCCTGCACCTTAAAATTTGTACCTGTCCTTTTTGTCCCCATGAAATCAGTCTGCTTTATTGAGTACCCTTACTATGCAACCCACTGAGTAAGAATTAAATGATGGGAAAATTAATTAAAGAAGAAAATTGAGCTCAATTTCTGGCCTAAGGAGTTTTGCTGTTGTTTTTACTAGTTATCTTTCTATTTCTACAATAATGGTCTTATACAGTATTTTTCCTAATGAGACTGAGTTAGTTCATTTAGCATAATGCTCTCCAGTCACTCCCGAGTTAGGTAGTGGTTTTCAAAATCATTGTTTCTGCATGCTGCAGAATCATCATGTGAATGTACCATAATTTCTCAATCCATTCAGTTGTGGTTGGACATTTGGGATGTCTAAAGACTTTCCACAGAGGAAGATATTTGGATGGCCAACAGATACATGAAGAAATGCTCAAAATTACTGGCAATAAGAGAGATGCAAATCAAAACCACAATGGCAAAGTTTAACAGAACAGAAAGTAATAAATATTGGAGAGGATGTTGAAAGAAGGGAACTTTTATACAATGTTGGTGGAATTGTAAAATGATGGGCAGTTTGGTGTTTCCACAAAAAGCTGAACATAGAAATTCCCTATGACCCAGCTATTCCACTGCTTGGAATATAGCCAAGAAAATCAGAACTGAGATGCAAAGGGAGATTTCTGCACCAATGTTTATAGAAGCGTTATTAACTGTCACAAGAACAGCCCAAGGAGGTTTTAACCTCTAACATGAAGGAGTTCTAGCAAAAAGTTGTGCTGCCAACACAATGGTAGATTTCTGGAATCCACCAGCCACTCCTAATGAGAAAGGTGATAGT